TTACAGGCCCAGGGACTATGAAAAGGGTCCCGCCATAGGCATTGGCCTAGGTAATAGCCTGGGAGTCTGGTCTACAGGGACAACCAATAGCCAATTGCACGTTTCCACAAGATTGTTGCAAGTGAGGATATGCCCAGTTCCAAACGAATTGCGGCGTTACTTACGCGGGGGGGGGGGGGGGGACTCCCATCAGATGGCATAGGAACTGGCTGTGAACAGACTCAAGAGAAGAAATGTTGGATTGGACCCAGAGAGAGGCGCCATAGGTGATAGCAGCTATCACCTTTGCCCTGTAGACTTTTAATGCTGAGGGATGTGATGAGCTCCTTCAGTATGAAAAAAGTGCAGGAGGGCATGGGTGGAGATCTTAGCCTTATTACAGAGGGACTTAACCTGCGCAGGCCACTTGGTATTGGATTGAAAGAGGATACCCAGATATTGGAATCTGTGGACCTGTTCCACTGGGATGGCATCAAGATTCCATTGGTAGATTTTCCTGCTTCTTGCAAAAATCATGATTTTAGACTTTGAATGGTTTATATGCAATTGATTAGCAGAGCAATAGGCAGAAAGGATTTTTAAGGCTCTAAGTAGGCCCACCCGGGAAAATGAAAGTATTGCGGCATCGTCAGCGTAGAGCAGGAGCGGACATCTATAATCAGCTAATCTAGGGGCATGGATGTAGACCATGTGATCCAAAAATGCCTTTCTCCAGTCACTGATATATAAATTGAAGAGAAAGGGTGCCAGAATACATCCTTGCCTAACCCCCTTGTTAACGGGGATAGCGTTAGAGAGATCCCCCTGCGGGGTAAGGCGCACTTTTGCTTCTGTTCCATCGTGCAGTTGGGAGATAAGCCAAAGTAATCTTTTGTCAATACCCCAGGCGGAAAGTTTGCCCACAGCTTAGCTCTAGGGATGCTGTCGAAGGCAGCCTTTAGGTCTATAAAGGCAATGCAGAGATGACCCTTCCTGGGGGTGGAATATTTTACGGCAAGATGATGAAGGATCAGGGCATGGTCAATTGTAGAATGGTCTGGACAGAACCCCGCCTGCTCATATCCAAGCAGGTCAGCCTCTTCAGCCCAGCACTCCAGTTTGGACAGGAGATAACGGGCATAGAGTTTCCCCAAAATTGAAAAAAGACTGATGTTACGGAAGTTGCCGGGATCGGAATGGACCTTTCTTATGTATTGGGATAATTATGGCATCCTTCCAGAGCTTGGGGATGAGGCCCGTCTGGTTGATCGCATTAAATACCTCAGTGAGAACCGGGGTCCACCAGTCCTTATGGGCTAGAATGGCTTCAGCTGGGATGAGATCCGGGCCGGGAGCTTTTCGAGGTTTGAGTTGTCCGATTAGTTTGGCAATCGTGGATGGTTCCACAGGAGGCCATCTGGAAGGTGGTTAGGGAAAGAGCCTGAGGTCAAAGAAACTGGCACGTCGGTGTTGTAAAAGACTCGGTGTAGAAAGAGTTCCCATGTGGTGGCAGAGATGGAGAGAGTGAGCCTACTAGTTGGCCTCCTGTTTAACAGACTCCAGAAATCTTGAGGGTTGTTGGATTTCGCGGCCTCTAGTAGTGCATTTCACCTTAGCTGGTGCCAGTCTTGCTTGGCTCTTGAAAGGGCTAGCTTGTATGCCTTCTTGGCCTCGAAATAAGCAGGGGGGGCCATCGATGAACCTGTTCGTTTGTGAGCAGAATATATAAATCTCATATGATTCCTGGCTTGTTTGCACTGTGAGTTAAACCAAGGGGCTCCCTTCCTCCGGGAAACTCTACCAGGGGTAAGAGTGGGGTGCTGAAAGGAGGATATAAGACCGCTTAAACACTCAGTGAAGGCGGTCAGTAACACACCGGGTGTAGCCTTGGTGCCGATTAAGGCTGACAAAGTATTGGCTGCTTCTTGATGATAAAAGCGTGCGTGAAAAAGGGCCAGAGACTTTGACCATTTCTGCAACATTGGGGAGCCTCTGGGATTAGAGTCTATTGAGACAGTGTGAGCAGAATGGTCTTGAGGTCTATATAGCCGTGCAACCGTAATGAGAGGAAGGTGATCGCTGAAAATCCTGTCATCTACTTTGAAGGAGGAAATGTATGGCAAAAAGGCTCTCGAAACCAAGATATAATCTATTGTGCTGTTGCCATTTTTGGCCAAGTGGGTAAATTCCCTGGGGACATCCGGGGCACATCTGCCATTAAGGGGAAGAGGTCTAGTTTGACGGTAAGAAGAGCTAGACAAGTCCCCACTTTGTCAACTTTCCAATCCTTGGAGACTCTCCCTTTCAAGGTATCCAGGGGGTGGTCATCCCTAGTCGGCCTGTCCACAATAAGAGGCAACCAGGGTTTCCCAAGTCCCCGCAGTGCGGGCATTTAGATCCCCTGCCAGAAGAACCCAGAGAATGAGGGAATCTAAGTGTGATGGTAGCGAGAAAATCTTCCAGACCGCCCACAGCTCATCCAAGTCCCGGTGAGAGCCCCCAGGAGGAAGATAGATATTAAACACCAGGAGCGAGAGCTTCCTGACGGATATCAAATTTGCCTGGCATAAGGGGAAGGGAGTCTACAGGAGTCATGTTTGCGTGGCAATTACTAGTAGTGAATCACCCTGAATTTTTAATGATTATTATGTGCACTGATATAAAAGTTGGTATAATTCTATGCAAAGAGGTATTTTTTTTAACAAAGTTAAAATTCTTTTGGCAGTTTCTCTTGCTTTTGCTGAAGATGTTAGATGGAACTAATATTTCAAAGACAGCAGTGAAAAACAAATTTGAGCTCAAAGTCTGGATTAGATTTGCATGACAGTCTAAAGTTATCCATGCTTGGTGATCTCATGATATTTGTTTTTAAGAATTCAAGAAGCCAATATTCTCACTGAATTTCATTTTAGTCAACCCCCCCCCCACCTTTCCCCAGTTTCTAGGTTGGGATGGCAGGGTTATGATTTAGGGGAAAGGGCATTTGAAGTTTGGGTTACATCTTCTATGTCCTGAGAAAACTAAAGTCCAACTGTCACCATGATAAGAAATAAGATCAGCAATGCTAGTTGTTTGACAAATAAATTCACAACTTCCTTATGAGAGCAGTTGCATAAACAAAGTGATGGCTGATCTAATGAAGGCATGGTGTCATAAGGGATAACTGCACTATAGATCACAGTACTTAGTACTTCACAGTATCTAAGGTTATCATTTACTATTTAGAAGACAGACTTTTTCAATACTAAAGCAATATGGCAAAGCTGCAAGAGATTACAATCTTAGCTCATTATTATTGGTTTGGAGTGACTGACAAAAGATTGCTTAGGTGTGAGCATATGCTGTCTCTTGCATAGTGCTTCTCAATCAATAAGAATGCCTTTTGTATATACAATACACCTCTCTCTCTCTCTCTCTCTCTCTCTCTCTCTCTCTCTCTCTCTCTCTCTCTCTCTCTCTCTCTCCTCTCTCTCTCTCTCTATATATATATATATATATATATATATATATATATATATATATATGCATATTCTTTCTAGCCAGGTTTTACCTACGTAAACTTAGTTGTTCTACAGCCCTAGGTTCTGTGAAATCTCATTCACAAGTTTCTGGGCCTTTTTTCTGCTGACAAACTGCAACTCTGTGTTGCTCTCTAGGAGACTCAGATAGCTATTTCTGCCTCTTAAGGCGTCTTTGGTGAGCCACACCCACTTCTCATATATATATATATATATATATATATATATATATATATTATATATATATATATATATATATATATATATATATATATATATAATATTTCGCTGATAAAGAAATAAAGGGAGACTTATTATAGATCTATTTCAAGCTATTTAGCTCTCATCAGCTAGCCATACCTTTACTTGGATTTGAACTTGGGCTGCATGTTAGGCAGTTGTATTAACCTCTGAGCCACAGCGAAATATAAATTTGGGATAAAATGGTTTGTCATGAATGTGACTGCTTGAGGGCTCCTGGATTGGAGCTGAAAGGTGAAAAGGATGCAGCATGCTCCCTCCCACATGCTTATGGAGCTCATACAAAAGATTTATTATGTATGAGGCATTAGTACCAGATGAATGCTTAGTGAAGGTGTTATCTTCACATCTGTGGAATACATGCCCTTGTAAGCAATAGCTGTTGCAATTTCCTTACCTATGCAACCAATACAAACACAAGAGCCAAATTATTTTGTAAATCTGCCCTTCATAGGTTACATGATCTTCAGGATATTCTCTAAAGCTTGGTTTACATAGCACATGAAATCCTAAACCCCGAATACAGTTGCTGTGTTCACAAAAATGCTATGTGCAAAGGAATAGTATAGGCCTGCAAAAATATTAAGTTCAGAAATTTAATTAAAAGATGATTTGTTTGATTTAATGATTCAGTCTAAATTTCTGAAAGCATCAAATCAAATTGCATGGCTCTGAATCACTTCGGAAACTTTTGAATGCTCTTTGGTGATTCATTTGTCTTTTGAAATACAGTTTTCCTGAATCAGTTTGGCAATTTGATTTGGATTTGTCATGATTTGACTGACCCTAAAATAAACCATATTATGATTTTCAGAGATAGCATTGTTCACACAACATGGTAAATCACAGACTGTAAAATACCATTTTAATGTGTACAATTGCCTCAAAGGTATCAAGAGCAGATAAAGTGATGCTTTCCATAGGGTATGAATTAAAATCCCCATAATTATTTTCTGTTGGTCATGCTGAAGTTATCACATTGTTTGCATGGAACAAAATTCATAATGTTGTTGTCTCAAATGTATCTGGTAGTGGTGGCTTTTACATTATAAACAAAGTATTAAACAGAGCTTAAAGGATCCCTGAAACAACATGTCATCATTGTCATCGTCATCATAGCGATTGTCTATCCACTGCAGGATGAAAGCCTCTTCCACATGTTTACAACCAATGTGGTCGAGAGCTTTCTTTTGCCAATTGGGACCACAATACTTGCTTATGTCATTATCCTTCTTGTTTTAGGTCTCTTTTGTGGATGTTTTTTTATCAAGAGGGATCCATTCTATGACTGCCTTGTTCCACCGCCATCAGTTCTTGCTAAGTGACCAGCCCATTTCCATTTCAATTCTTTTATTCTCTTGATGATATTGTATATTTTCATTTGTTCTCTAATCTATGTGCTAATTGTTATTATTATAGCATAGTTTGAAGGTTCCAAATGAAATTAACTAAAAGAAACTATATCTATACATTTTGTTTCATGTAATGAAAAAACACATTTTTGTTCTATTTGACTTCTGAACTGAATAAAGTGAAGTGAGAAAGTGTATATATAGGTATTATACGTGTGACTTTTTAAAAACTTTTAGATCATAGTAGAGAAGCTGTTCCTTTCCTTTTCAAAATAGGAAAATACATAATTTAAATAAATAAAATTTTAATTCAGAATTTTATTTCAATATCACATCTACAGCAAGGATGCAAAATAGTCCAAATATTATTTATGGGAAAAATCATTACTTTTTATGAATTGCTTTTAGTTTGCAATACCAACACAAGGGAGGACTATCCATTGGAATTTTCTAGAAAGATTCCACAAACTCCTTAAAAATCAAAATTGAATAAAAACAGTGAAATAGCTTGCTTTAGGACAATCAAACACGAAGGGAAGCTATGCCTGAGGTTGTGATTATGAAGTCAATAATGTTAGATTTCATCCAGACTGAAACATGCAAGCAAATTTAATTTGACATTTATTAGCTTGAATAATGCACCCATCTTTCAAATATGCTCTCTACATTCAAAGTCTGTGGGATGCATCCCAAGTTTAATCAAACCTGTCACATTTTATTCCAGGCAATTCAGCATGGAACACGGTTCAAGATAACAAACTATGTCTTTCACTGAAAAGGACATATGCCCTAGATATATTTTTGTAGGGCTTCCTTTGGGAGCATAGGTTCTAAGAAACTGTACAGAAGAAACATTTCCCAACTGAGAAATCGACAACCTAATAGTGAATAAGCACTGATTACAAATGAGAAATTTCTTTGTGGCTCCAACAATGTTATCATTATGTAAGTTGAATGGAACACTGTTTTTCTTCTTCTTCTGGAGGACGTGTGCATGAAGTAATCAGAAGATGTTTCCTAAAAACATGCTAAAGTTACAATGGCTCAAAATTATATTTTCTGTATACAAAGTAATTATGGTAGGATATAGTTGTTACTGATTCAGTAAGTATTGTTTAAACCATTAGGAAAACAAAAAGAGAGAAGGAAAACAAAATGAGAGAATATTTTATTCAATTTAAATGAATATTATCAGAAAATAATGAGTGTAGAGTCGAGCTGGGTTGTTGAATGGATTGATCATTACATGGATTTAAAGAACTTTCAATTCCAGCTAACTCTGGGTGATTTGCATATTAAAATAAAAACAAAGAAATGATGTACATCCAGGAAAATAATAAAACCCACAAAGCATCATATATATCTACAGTATATCCATATCCATCTATCCATCTATCCATCTATCCATCTATCCATCTATCCATCTATCCATCCATCCATCCATCCATCCATCCATCCATCCATCCATCCATCCATCAAAAGGCATACCTATTATCTTGCCATAAGGCCTGGGAAACTAAACATGCTTTCAAATTTTTTTTAAAAAAAATAATCTTATTTAGGTGGAAGTCACACACATTTCTGGGAGTATAATATTCCAAATGGCACTGATACATCAGAGAAGACATGCCTCTCAGACCCCAATAAGTAACGTTAAGTGAAATGATTGGGCTGGATCTTATGGATGGACAGTAGGTGATCCTTCAAATAACCAGCTCCTGTGTCATGAAGGACTTTGTAGATAATAACCATCCATCTCAGTGGTATCATAGGCTTATTGTGCATTCCTATTATTGCACATGCTAGCACATACTGGACTGGGTGTATCTTCTGAGTGATGTCCAAGGCCAGCCATATGCAGAGTGCTTTACAGTAGTCCATTCATGAGATGATTAGGGCATCAGTGACTGTCTGAAGGGCTTCCAAATTCAGGAATAGGCACAAGTGTTCAAGGCAAATGTTTTCTTCACTACCTACTCTTCAAATGTGACAACTCTCAGATTGTGCACCAGTCTCGAATAGAGAAGTGCTATCCACCCAACACTAAGAATAGAAGCCCCCCAAGGATCAGGTCATTTACAGCTATTTGATGCTGTCAGTATTTTTTTTTTTTTTTTTTAATTGAAAAGGTTTTCAAATACAAATTTTTCCCCCTTTTTTCCCCCCCCTCCCCCCCTCCCTAAACCCCCCTCCCCACCCTTCCCCCCCTGTGACTTCTTCGTAACAAAAAAAAACCCTAATTCATAACAGATTACTTACTCCCTCCTCAAAATACTGACCTTTACTTACTAAAAGTATTATAAATCCCCCTTTATCCATACATTTCAGAAAAGAAGAAGAGAAAAAAAAAAACAAAAAAAAACACACATTATACTATAACTATTATAAAATAACTTCTAATTTAGCATAATAGTGTTTTATATCTATGCATTATTGCAACAATTCAAAACCACCTCCACTTTAAAACTATACGATAAGTCCTACTTTAATAACATTTCAAAGCGGGCTCCCCATAAAATCTAATTTAACATTTATTCCACTCTATCCATTTCCTCCACTCCCCTAAATGTATCACTTAAAAATCCCTTTTCTTAAACTAATCAGTCTGTAGCTAGCTTATTCACCCACTATCTTACAAATTTACCATACACAACAATTCTTGATATCTTTAATTCACTGCCCACACTACTTAAAATATATATATATATATATTCCATTATATCTAAATAAAAAAAGAAAAGACAATAACTTTAAATTTATAGTCCATATAATATCTTCTTGAAGTCTTTCCACTGGATTGTTAAAACCAACATCCATAATAGGGTGACATAGCTTGCGGATGCAACAGTTTATTCAAGATCTCCAATCATATCTGCCCCCATCAGTAGTAAACATCTTCTTATATATATAAAAGTAAAAACAACCACCCGAGTGACATTATAATTGTATTCCATATAATAATAATTGTGGGTTTCATCAGGATTATTAATTTCCATCATCGTATTGGGTAACAACCCGATCTTCTGCATGTCCCAATGTGATTCTCTTGCCTTATAATTCAAGATAATTATAATATATTTATCAAACACAAAAAGAAGTTTCAAAGTAGATAATTCAAAACCATCAATTTGAGGCTCTTTCCATGTCCCAAAATTACGGCAATGCAGAGATCTGCCACTATCCTCAGGATGATATTGACCAATATGTCGCCTCCTCTATGTTTTCACATAATCATTCATATTTTAAAATCACTGGCTTCACTGTTGCTTGGGTTAGAAATTTCTATTTTTGTACAACCTATTTCTTTTTTTATTTTCTTTTTGTGGGTTTGACCTCCATCCTAATTTTTTGTGTCTCGCATTTCTTTTTTATCCCTTGTATATCCTCTAATTGGTTTCCATGCTTGTCCTTGCCTTGATAAGTCATCACATTAAAATCAGATGGCACTTCTCTCAAATTTGTAGATAATCCAGCTGGGGTATCCGATAAATCCAAAGGCAATTTATCTGGTACAGTCTCTGTCTTTAGTTCCAGCTCCTTCTGCTTATCCTGTATTATATCTGAAGACGTTAAATTCATTTTCAACCTATTTTGATAAAATTCTTCCGCTCTTTCAACAGTATTTAACTGGTATCTTTCTCCTTGATATCTCAATATAATACCAACTGGGACGTCCCACCGGAATTGAATATTTCTCCTTTTTAACTCAGACACCAGAAAGCCAAATTTCTTCCTTCCATTAATATCTTAGGTGGGAGTTCCTTGTAAATCCAAATCTTTCTTCCATACAATTGCAAATTAGAATTGAAGGAATTTTGCACAATTTTATTCCTAATTTCTTTATCTGAAAAATAGATTACCACATCTCTAGGCAATTGCCTTTGCTTGGCAGTCCAGGAGTTTATTCGATAAGCTCTGTCAATCCTACAAAACACTTCCTCAGGTTGAATCTTAAAATCCCAGCTAGAAATTCAGAAGATATTTTCCTTAAGTCATCTCTGTTATTTTCCTGCAAACCTCTAAGTCTTATTGCATATTCTGTGAAATTATATTGTATCTTTAGAACCTCTTTTTGAATCCTCTGTTGCAGATATTCTACATTACCAGACTTTTGGTCAGCATCCATTTTAAATTTTTCTTCTGAACTATAATCCTGAATATTTAACAAATCATTTTCAATTTTTTGAATTCTATTGTCCAATTTATATCCATCTATCCATCTATCCATCTATCCATCTATCCATCTATCCATCCATCCATCCATCCATCCATCCATCCATCCATCCATCCATCAAAAAGGCATACCTATTATCTTGCCATAAGGCCTGGGAAACTAAACATGCTTTCAAATTTTTTTTAAAAAAAATAATCTTATTTAGGTGGAAGTCACACACATTTCTGGGAGTATAATATTCCAAATGGCACTGATACATCAGAGAAGACATGCCTCTCAGACCCCAATAAGTAACGTTAAGTGAAATGATTGGGCTGGATCTTATGGATGGACAGTAGGTGATCCTTCAAATAACCAGCTCCTGTGTCATGAAGGACTTTGTAGATAATAACCATCCATCTCAGTGGTATCATAGGCTTATTGTGCATTCCTATTATTGCACATGCTAGCACATACTGGACTGGGTGTATCTTCTGAGTGATGTCCAAGGCCAGCCATATGCAGAGTGCTTTACAGTAGTCCATTCATGAGATGATTAGGGCATCAGTGACTGTCTGAAGGGCTTCCAAATTCAGGAATAGGCACAAGTGTTCAAGGCAAATGTTTTCTTCACTACCTACTCTTCAAATGTGACAACTCTCAGATTGTGCACCAGTCTCGAATAGAGAAGTGCTATCCACCCAACACTAAGAATAGAAGCCCCCCAAGGATCAGGTCATTTACAGCTATTTGATGCTGTCAGTATTGAAGCCAATTTCTATTTTTAATTATTCAGAGCCACACAAATACTGGAACAGAACATGAACAAGCAATATTTTGAGAGTTCTGAGGTCAAGATATACAACTGATATTATCAGGGTTTTCAACCCAATCAGCTAAATCAGACCAAGAATCAACTCCACAACAAGTTGTTGACTATAAAAGATTGATTGATTGATTCTTTTTATTGTGCTGCTATCATGCTGTTGATGCATGATGTTAACAATGTTGATGTTAACAATTTCTTGACATTCTATTATTCAG